AGATGTATCACTGCTGTAACACCTGTAACATTCAGCAGTCGCCTCATTGTTCTGACACACACAACAAAACTGTTGACTACACTACACACTGACTACACAAGATTTTCCCCCTTCCTAAACAACTAAATGCCATGTTTGATTGGTCGACATGGTACATTTTTCCACCAATAGGAAAGGGCGGGGGTTTTTGGGGTTTTGTTTTTGCTCACAGGCGGAGAGCGTTTTCCTTATAAAACGCCGTTTGTACCGTTTCTTCCCGCAGTAAATATAAACAACGATAATATTCAGGAAGAAAAACAAACATTGCAGATATTTTTATCATAACTCTGGTTTTACGTGGCCGATCAACACAAAATCACCCGCCTGACTTCTGGCATGGTAAGTGGTACGTCATCCAGATGTGGGCCAGGCCTGGCATAGATGGCACTGTTTATGTGATGGCATGCCATATCTGGCCCGACTGTGATTTGGTTTTTGTGGCCCAGGATTAGAGAAAACAGGTCTGGCCTGGATCCGGCATCAAGCTGGCACTTCTGACTGACTGGTGTCATGGCAGGGTGTCTGTCAACCAGATGTGGGCCAGGTCTGGCAATGATGCACTATTTATGTTCCTACTTTCCTATTTTAATTAGAAGACCCAAATGCCATGTTGCTATAGTAGCCAACGTTTCAAATGCAGGTTTGACAGGTTTGTGAGTGTACACTTTCTCCAAAACCTAGTGAGGGTTTACTCATATTTGCCGGTGCCTGGCTGTAGCTCAGGAGGTAGAGCAGGTCGCCTACTGATCGCAAGGTTAGTGGTTCGATCCCTGGCTCCTCCAGTCTGCACGTCGAGTATCCTTGGGCAAGACACTAACCCAAGTTGCTCTCTGATGCAATGTGTATGAATGTAGTTAGGAAGCATTCAGTGTAGAGAAAGTGATCGGGTGAAAATAATAAATGGTTCATACATAGTGCTTTTCAACTCTGAGCCAGTGTTGGGAAGTAATGGAATATTTACCATACAAAATATGAGTAACACTGTCCTGTTAAAGTTACCATTTAAAAAGGTGATCATTAGAATACAGTTACTTCATTGAAATAAATGGATTACACGGTGGTCTTTTCCTCTTTGATATGTTAGGCTATCCCCCCTCTATCTTCTCTCTAATTTTGGTAATTCCACACATTGCCGGAAACCCAAACAAAACACGCAATAAGAGGTTCTAATATAAGCGTCCCGTTAATGTTTGTGGCGTCAGTTACACAATGGACCCGGAGCCAGCACAA